ATCCGAATTCAGTGACCATTTTGGCAGTCGAAAAGTAATATGCTACACTCAGCAGAACTACATCACCTGGGTACTTTTAGTCGTTCATGACTTTTCGATGCAAAATATTATTGGATGAGAACGGGGAGGTAAACGAAGTCAGTTTTATCTGTATGCGTAAAGCACAATTGAATAAGGTCGTTGAACCTACGTGACAGACATTACTGGCTGTTGGCATCATACAAGCAACCATAAGCCGTTACATAACTGTATGCATCGGTCCAAAGATCAACAAAGGTTGAAATAACTGTGTAGTAAAAAACAAAACACGGAAGGAAAAAACTGTGAAATGCTGAAATATCTATTGATTATGCTCATTTACCCTATCTGTGCATTTCGTTAAGTGAATTAATAATTAATTGGGTCATTTGTGATGACCATGTTCACCATAATTTGTTCTGATCAACGATTTTCAAGTTTTAGTGAAAAAGTAGTCTCAGATAATATTTACTACAGAATATTTCAGCAGTGATGCTTAACGTATATCTAATTGTGACTAACTACTCTTTACATTACGTAGCTACGTTTCCAACGTCTTTCCTTTTAACGTTGAAGGTTGGGAGGTTTGTTCACAAATTGGTTGGCTTGTTATTAAAATAATATTTACTGTGAACAAAAGTTGAAGTCAAGAATATATTCAGGATTGTGGCATCAATTAGTTACTTTTGAGTACTGTATTTAAGCTAAATTTCAGCTATCACTCGACCGTGTAACTTGTACGATGTGGTAGAGTATCATTCTATATTATTTTCTTTTATTGAAAATTCTAATATGACTGTAAATAAAAAAATAAAAAGGGAACTACAAAAATACCATGTTTCATCTTTTTGGAGTTATCTCGATGTGAATGTTCTCCTTTTGACAAATAAGCAAGCAAATGAGAATTTATTGGCGGAGAGCTGTACTATTAGCTGTTTGCTCAAACCAGAGAAGATAAAGTACGGTTTAAGCCCGTGAACCAAAGACCTTAGTTGGAAAACTGGTCTACTACGAAACTGCATGCACAATGGATTGTTTGGTACGTTATGTAGTGAACAACCCATTTTAACGCATGAAAATGTTTAGTAAAGTGATCAAAAAACTTTAAGTCGATGCTAGACTAGTTGCATCCTCTGTTGTCATGTGTTATCAGTACACATATAACTGTAGTGAGTCTGAAATCAGAGATCCTTTTGAGTGTTTTCTATTGTGTCGTTAACTCTTTTCCCATAAACAACGTCATCTGAAATCATAAATTTAACCACAAAACCACCCCCTAAGCATAAACGTTTGCATCTGTTTGAACCTAACAATTATGAAAAATTATGTCCCTTCATTGGATATCGTTTATGCGGACATATACAGAAAGACAGACACCATAAATATAGAACTTGGGATTACCCTCATTTCCTTGACTTTTATTGGCCATGTTTTTAAAGTCATATAATAGAATAGAGCAAACTGTGGCGTAGAACACTCAGCCTTTAATAGGTAGTCGGATATCATGGTGAGATTATTAATGCCAAAAAGTTGACCAAGGCCAAGGGATCCTTTTGTATCCGTGCAGAGATTTTGTCGGTCACTGACCTACTAGGGTTGATCTGACTTCCCAAGTAAGTGAAATCACAAATGTACTCAGTCATCTCACTTCTTACTGTTCATCAAGGCAAATTAGAGGATTAGTCGTGGAGCAACAATTTCCGTTTGGCTAATGGGAAACGGTGGAGCTGTGACTCATTGGTTTAGGAAGTTTACCTTCAACTAGTGGGTCATAAATCCAAACACCGCGCCACCTAACGACACTTCGACAGCTGGGCAGCATCATAAGTCTTAATATAATAGGTGTGGTTCATCGTCTGCTGCTGAAATGTGCACCAGGTTGCTGAGAGAAACGCCTCACGACCAGTCTCAAATTCCCATTCAAGGTGTACAGATAACTTTGCATCTTATCAGGGTCATCACGTAAGAGGAATGTGTGATCTGCATACTCAAAATCTCCTAAAGAGTCTTCTGTGACAAAATTAGTCAGTGTAGTCACATAAAGAGAAAAAGACCGCCACAAGCACATATAAAAAGAAAATTAGATAAAATTAGAGAGTGAGATATCCTTGAAGGACACCACTCGGCGTACACGACTCACTTGCAAAAATCACCACAGGGCGTAACAAACACACGGATTTTAGAGTGCAAGACCTTCAACAGAGTAACACATCTACTTGGCACTTTTTTTAGTGAGAGACGTGGGCTTAAAACCTCTCGACTGATAAAGTCAAATGCTACCTTCAGGCCGGGAAATGCGGCTAGTATTGGACGTTACTAAGTGTGCTTGTTTTTCATAACCTGATGAAGAGTGAATATCTGGTCGATGCACCAGCAACCAGATATGAAACCTGCGCGATATTCTTGATTTTGCTATTCATGAGTTTCACTTACTGATTCATTGGAATGATGTTAAGAAATTAGTTGGTACCGAAGTAAAGCACTCATCAGAATTACTTCGGACTAAGAACTTTAAACGTTGAATAAAATCATAAAGTAATGAAATCTTGATTTTAACCATTCAAAGTATCGAAATGAAGCTCAGGTATGAGGAGAATATATTGCATTTTCGTGACATAATACTAAGTTGTCAATGATTTTTTTGAGATTAATAACAATTTTATAGCGAACAACCTGAAAAAGGTTCTTCGCACCACATGTTGTTGCAGAAAAATATCAAGGGTGGTAAATCAATAAGTGGTGAGAATATGAAATGATAGATATTCAGTAAGAATATGTGTTTTAAATGCCCATTTGTTTTTTATTTTGATATACTATGCTCTAGGTAGAGTGATAAGACTATTTAAATTAGTCATATCGTTTACTGGCAAGTGTTGTGCAGCCACTGATTGTCAGTTTCAGCTACCCTACTGGTTGACATCGTGCATATATGAAAACTGACTTCAGTTTTAAGAATTCTCTGACTTCATACTCCTCGGGAAAGGTTATCATTTTCTGACCAACTTTCCACTGTACTTTGTATGGAGCTAAACAAAATCAACTGTTGTAAAATTTCCATTGTTTTATGAACTCTGATTATCCTATAAGTTTTCTGTATGAAATCTATACATGGAACCTAATATCCCTGAGGTTTACAATGAACACCTGACTGTTCAAGGGTGCAAACCCGACTCTAAGTCGAATGGAGACTACTTATGATTTATAATTGCAACATTAAAAGTAAAATGATACTATCCTGTCTTTTTAAATATCACTCAAATCATCACGAACGTTTTGTTACTCAAATTACTTGGGGAAGTCCAAGTTATTGGCGTAGTAAAAGCAGTTACCTTTATGGTGCTGTGTTCTCTGGGTTGGATGGTTTTATCGCGAAGCTTTCATTGTCATAATAGACAACATCATCATCATAAACTTCTTTCTCCTGAAGCCTGTGCTGATGGTTTTGTCCAAAATGATAATAAAAGCTTCATGCATAAACCATCCAGCTCAGAAAACACAATACCATCAAATTATCTTCTTGGCACACAAACGTTCTCATCATCTCAGATGCAGTAACCCTTCGGTTTCTGGTTTGATGGTCTATTGGCGAAACCTACGAAAGCTTATTGCTAATCAGCTTGCCGTTTAACTTCAGTCACAAAGAGTTGCATAGGTATTTGAACTCCATCCACTAGTTGCTCACTCAGCGGGGCTACTATTAAGATTTTATGTGTATTTCTAAAGAAATACATAACATGGAGAATTTATATTTTTTTCTTATATGTGCGAAAAACGAAGCGAAAATGAAAATTATCACTCATTAAAGAAGTACACAAATCTAGCTTGACCCTTAGACTGTCAAAAGTTATTACATGCAATGCAAAAACCATCTAAATGGGCTGAGTTTCAGCAGTTTGGTAGGTGCACTTTTCTCAGTTGCTTCGAATCTGCCTACTGATAACAAATCCTACCTTGAAAATGAATGATTCATCATTTTAAAGACTACCTGCTCAGAATATAGTAGTGATACTCCTCAAGGATTCATAAAGCGAAAATTCAATTGGTCAGATAGGTCAAATGTAGTCAAGAAATATGTTTTAACTAAACAATATTAGAACTGTGAGGAAGTCAAGGAAACGTATTTGCACATCTCAGTGTCTCTAAATATTTGTTTCTCTAATTTCCAAGGCATACAATGTGCGACATGTCACTAACTCTGTATCATATGATCTTTTTGAAAACCATTCTGTAAAATCGAAAGCAGTGTGATGGGAGTTTAACAAAAGTGTCAAATTCTTATCCGATAAGGTGCCTTGCGAAGAACTAATTAATTTTAAATTCATTTTCAGAAACATTCAAAACCAGAAAAGATTACCTTGAAATAATAGAACGGATTTTTCACCAAGTACCCTACTAAAGTGTAACTCATACCAGTTCATTTAATACAATTTCTTTCACTTTTATAAGAAGTGATCAGCCGTTAAGCTGTTTTTGTTGTGATAGAGTAAATATTTTCATTGATGCTTACTGGATAATGATATGAATGACGACTGAAAAGCACAGACAATGAGACTTTAACCTAGTGACTAGATAGTAAAATGTCTTCTGTTTAACTTGAAAGTTCAGCAACTCTTTTCTCATAGCGTCGTGAAAGCACTCGACCTTGGAGTCTGAGGCGTGTTCAACACTGTCTGGTCTTCACTGGTTCTGTGACAAATATCAGTCTGTGTAAACACTATTTGGAATAAAATTTTTGTGTTCTTGTGGGAGTATGCCGTGGGTTGAGGCTATTTATAACATAGTTGTCAACAGAACCACCTTCCGAAGAATACTGATATTAAAGCTGTTCCGAAAGCAAAGTCGACTATACCATTATAACTTTGGTTAACAGATGTTTAAATTTTTAGTACAATTTCACCTAAAATTTCGATTTTGAGCAATAGAGATTTTTAAAAAACTATTCCACTAATATTGCGCTTGTGAATAATGACAGTACATCTTACTTGTGTTGATGCTAGGTTTGCATGACTGGTATAAGGTGTTACATCGATCACTGGATATTTGTATCGTTCATACTGCTATTATTCATCATGCGATTACTTCCATATATCATGTCATTACGATTGATTCGGTTAGATAAACATGTTCTCGACGGTAAACGTTCAACTTGTTGACTTTCTTGTTTTCTGTAACAGTGAAAAAATTCAAGAAAAGTTTGTATTTCAGTAATTTGTTTACAATTGAAGGAATTAAAATTTACATTCTAAAAGCTAGTAAAGTTATCAGGTTCGTTGTGTTGTTAATGCTTCAAAGATAGATAAGTAATCGTATAACTAACTAAATTGGTGATATGCATCACAATGTTGACCGATTCTCCACGACCAATAAATGTAATAAGACCAGTTTGGAAAACATGACGATACTTCAGTGCTCTGTACTTGATTTGAAATGCTTAGATGCATTAAAATAATCACTGCTTGTATGCATTTGGGATGATATACTGAATTTGTGAAATGAGAAAGTTGAAATGTTTCATGATCGATAATTTATTTCGTTCATAAGTCAATTTGTTTACTCATCTCTGACCAGTTGTGTGTATAAGCAAGAAAAAATTTTTCCCAGAGATCTGAATAACTATGAATCGAAAAAAGTTTTTCTTATTTAGACAACTTTTTTAACCGGAGTACATGTTATGATAAAGCAAAACCAGTTGATGTATTAAAATGGATTCTGTTTGTCCATGGATAAAGAATAGGTGTCATGAACAAAAAGAACATAACCGAGTGGATTTATGCGGTAGACAAACGTTTAGCATATAAAACTGGCATGGGAGTCATATATGCATACAATAGGATCTCTTTCTAGGCCGAATACGAGGGGTTTGTCTCCTTACCTGAACTGTAACATTTCCGGTATCATTACTCACTGCATTTGACCTCAGATTTGTCTGAATTAAAAATTGGCTATTGAATACCTTGTGTCACTTATTCAGTGATTATCAATAGGTGTTTTCTGTTTCAAGAAATTCTCACGAAGTATTTAAATTCGTGCACAGACAAACAAATGATTGGATTTTAGTAATCTCAGAGGTTTCTGAAAATGTAATTACTTATGTCTGAGTATGTAATAGTGTAGTGGGTGCTGCTGATAAGAATGCATATAAGTAGTATATGTTGAGAGGTCAGCAGAAGTCATAGGCAATTACAAGCGATGGGTAAATATTTTGCATAGAGAAATGCAAGAGCCGACGTGGATTCATGAATAGCAAAGCGAGATCGAAGAAGGAGACGAAATGAAACACATTGTGCAAATTAATATTTCAATGGAAAGGTAACAATATTTCATCAGCAATGTATAAAATGTCATCATAAACATTCTTCTGCCTTTCATCCTTTGCTGTTTCCATACTTTTGGTGTCTGTGCTTCTGGACGTGATGAGGTTTCCGTAGCCTTCAGTGTTCCAGGGTGGAGACATTAAATTCTTCCTCAGCGATTTCTAGTCAGTCATGGGGTTGGTGGATTTCCAGAAGTGAAGTTCGTCGTACCTGGTACGTTACTGAGGGTTCGAGCGTAAGCGGCGTACGGTGGCGTGCAGCAAGTGGATGGGAACAAAATTTGAAAGACAGTGGTTGAATGACGAGGTGCAGTTTGACAGCCCAGATGATAGTGAGCAATTGTAAGAAAACCACAAAGGATGAAAGGCAGAAGAATGTTTATGATGACATTTTATACATTACTGATGAAATATTGTTACCTTTCCATTGAAATATTAATTTGCACAATGTGTTTCATTTCGTCTCCTTCTTCGATCTCGCTTTGCTATTCATGAATCCACGTCGGCTCTTGCATTTCTCTATGCAAAATATTTACCCATCGCTTGTAATTGCCTATGACTTCTGCTGACCTCTCAACATATACTACTTATATGCATTCTTATCAGTAGCACTCACTTCAGTTGTTCATTGTTTAACTGGCTACAAAAATCTACAGATGTGTTATTCATCATCATACTTACGGGTGATAAACTCATATAATCACTACACAGCTTTGCCCTATACATATATGTACAAATAAATCTAGCATGCTGACGTTATATCACTAACTTCCTTACTTCAGTGTAAAATCACACTTATTTTGTCTCCGCTTTAACGATTTATCAACGAAGAAGAAAAACCTACTGTTCTTACTAATAAAAACTTATTAGGAAAATGTTTGGTTTTTCTTGTAATAATCCTAGTAGCTCTCAGTGGAATCCTGGATGCGCATCTCTTTCCATTTAGGACTCTTTAGCTGGATTTACATGCATCTTAGTGAGTGGTGATGTTCTCAGTGAGACTGGAATCGAGGACAAATCACCTGAAACAGCTAAGTGTTATCCACCAAGCCAGTGGGGTAGGAGATTCACCACTTCTGCATCGGGTGTCATTTGTTGTTATTTGATACTTGTAATTTCCCGTTGCTATACAAAGGCCTTTTACGAATGCAGAATGTTCCAGATGAAGATTTATATGTTTCTGATAAAAATGAAAATTAAATTTATGTTTGAAATCGGGAAAGGCTAATTGTTCAGTAATAATCGATTTAGAGATGCTTTCATCGCTAAATAAAATAATCATTGGGTAAATGACCGGAAGACACTTATGGTTACAATACGGTTGCACTATTTTTATTTGCTGATTCATTTTTTTTATTGCATGTAAATAAATGGCGACTAGGTTCCGGGGCGTGTCGTTCACCTGGACGTGTTTTCTACTGAGAGGTGGATAGATAATGTCAACGACTCACTGCCAAAAACGAAAAACAATAAGCCTTGTGCGTATGAATCAGTTGGCTGTTAGATAAGAGAAATGAAGAGACTTTTATCATCGATCATTTATTTGTTAATTGTTTAGTTAAAACAGCCTACTGTATAACTATGCACTTTATCATTTGATTTAATATAACAGGCTTATACTCTAATTCATTTCCCATGTTTTATTATTACATACATTATCTTTCAGATGTCTTCATTTGTTATCATGCTAAATTGTAGGTTTGAGATGTTTGTTGCAGTTAGCTGGTAAAAACACATGGGCAATAGTGTTTTGTCAAAACTTGTCTTGGTAATCAAGTGCTGACTAGCATTTCGTGAGAACGTAAATGATGCGTAATTTCTAGATATTTCTGTTTACATACAGTTTTCAGAAACATAAACATGTGTTCAATGTACCATAGCTTTGGCTTGTAACTGATATACTAAAACCAATGAATAGGTTGTCGTTTATTTTATCACGACTGTTAAAGTTTATAGCATCAATGCTAAATACCAGTTGAAATCCAAGTAGATAACACTTAATACTTTGAGCAATTATACTTGATGTGAAGTATTTATTTCTTGAAAATGCATAAAATCACTTACTGAAGTCGAATGATCTGAAGTTTTAAGAATCTTCATTTACCTCGCCGCTGTGTTTGTATATGTATATATCCCACTGTAACACTTCAACTTTCTAACTGTGGGGTATACTCTTGTTTGGGTTCAAGTATGCACATCTCTGGGGTACTTTAATCTAGAATCAAATAACAATCCAACGTTCCCTAATTTTTAGAGATTTGCTGATGGATGTGAGCTTATAACAAGAAAACTAATTTCAAATCATAAAATCACAAGTTTCATCTAATATTAAAAGTGATACTCAGGCTGAGATATCTTAGAAGGTTTTCGTTGTTAGTACAGCAGACATAGCAACAGGTGGTAAGAAATCCACACGGAAAATGACTTTTGTATTTTGTTCCCAATTTAAGAATTATGATGTTAATTGTGACGTTACCGTCAATTTGGATTACTTAATTGCTAGACCAGTGGCTCACGGGTTTAGGGAGACGACTTCCAACCAGTGGGCCACGAGTTCAAATCCCTCTCCCCCTACCAAGGTTTGGATAGCCAGGTAATATATCAACCCTCACAAAGTACGCGTGGTTCATTACCTACTGCACAAATGCGAACATGGTTGCTCAGTCCATCTTGATATTTTTCTATTTCACCTAGTTGCTAAGGCTCCAGTCTTTGCATAAATTAGTAATCGCAAAACAGAAAAGCTCTACAGCAACGTCTCAACAAGGATGAAACGGGTGTCCTGGATTTTGCTGCTAGCTACTATCCATCATGAATATCAAAACTGATACACGGACAAAATCGAGGAATCCATGCAGGAGCCCATATATCAACAGAGACGGATAAATTTGGTCTAGTCATTGACGGGATAATACAACATGATTCCGTGGCCTAGTGGATAACGCAGTGGCTTAGGAAGCGGTCGGTCCCGGGTTCGAGTATTAGTGGGAACAAAATCACTAATTAGGAGACAGGTAACTTCGGCTGATAGGTCTTAAATAGGACGAAAAGCATGTACTGGATTCCGCTGCTAACCGCTATTCATTATTATTATAAGGTCAAGGTTTTTCGCTTCGAAGGTGATCAGTGCTATCATTTTCCTACTTATGTCATGGATATCTTAGTGATTTATCTAACTACTAATAGAATGCAGGTTGATCAATCCCGTTTGAATCCTAAATGACTAATATGAATAGTATTGCAGAAGTAAACCAGCGAAAAACTCAGGTTGATTTAAAGGTATGACAAAAATGTTTGCAGTAATGTCGAAAAAGTCTTAGTTGACGCCTTTTTACTTGTAATTAATAGATTTCTTATACAGAGAGAAACCTCGCCTGGTTAACTAGTTTACTAGTTACTAGCCGGTCCTAAGCCCGGGTAAAGAGGGAAGGTTGGGCATAGGGCTAGCAACCCTACCCCGTAAAACAAATCTAACCGCTAAAGAAACTTCAAAGCACAAACAAAATATAAAAAATGAAAACAAACTTATTCCCCGCTGGAATCGGAGAGGCGAAATGACGCCAGTTGGTGAAAGCCTTCGGGAAGCCAATTGGCCGATGTGTCTTCTCTCGATGAAAGCGAAAGTAAACGTGGGGACATGGAATGTCCGCACGATGTTTGAACCCAGTAAGGCAGCCCAGATTGCAAAGGAGATGAGAAGGTATAACATCGAAGTGCTTGGGATTTGCGAAAGCAGATGGAATGGGAGTGGACTCTCCAAACTGTCAACGGGAGAATCAATAATCTACTCCGGTCACCCAGACGCCAACCACGAGCACACTGAGGGAGTGGCTATCATGATGTCCTCAAGAGCATCGAAGGCTCTCATGCAGTGGGAACCAATCTCCTCCAGGATCATGTCAGCAAGATTCAACTCAAAAGGAAGAAAGGTCACAATCATACAATGTTATGCACCTACAAATAATGCAGAGCAAGAGAAAAAGGAGGAATTCTACAGACAACTTCAGTCAACACTGGACAAGACGTCAGTTGGCGATATCAAAATTCTAATGGGCGACATGAATGCCAAACTGGGAGGGGACAACACGGGAAGAGAACTAACCATGGGTCGAGAGGCGCTAGGTGAAATGAATGAGAATGGAGAATTGTTTGCAGAATTCTGTGCATTCAACGATTTGGTGATTGGAGGCAGTGTGTTCAGGCACAAGGATATCCACAAAGCGACATGGATTTCACCAGATGGACACACTAAAAATCAAATCGACTTTATCTCAATCTCAAGAAAATGGAGACGCAGTCTACTTAACACAAGGTCAAGAAGAGGAGCAGATGTAGGTTCAGACCACTATCTAGTGCAAGGAACCTTCGAAATCAAGTTAAAAGCCTTCAAGGAAGCTGGTGATAGACCTCAATTCAAGTACAACACTCGGAAACTGAAGGATGAAACTACAAAGGAGATCTTCAAAGCAGCCATCAAGACAAAATGGGAGACGTCGAGGGACATCCCTGAAGAAACCTGTGTAGAAGAACACTGGAAGTCTTTGAAAGCTATGTGGAAAGAAACCTGCACAACAGTATTAGGAAGGAAGAAGAAAGAAGACAAGGAATGGATCTCGACGGATACCTGGAAGCTGATAGAGGAGAGGAGGATGGTGAAGCAGAAGATAAACCAGTGCAAGGATGCTCAACGACAAGAGGAACTGAGCACAATGTATAAAACACTGGATAAAGAAGTGAAGAAGAGTGCACGCAAAGACAAACGACACTTCTACGACACACTGGCAAGTGAAGCAGAACAGGCTGCAGGTAAGAGAGACCTGACGACATTGTATCAAATAACCAGGTTGCTATCAGGGAAGAGACCAACACAGATGAAACCAATAAAAGATGAAGAAGGAAATTTAATTACAAAAGAAGAGAAACAGAGGAAACGATGGGCCGACCACTTCAAGAAGCTCTTGAATCGACCACCACCTGCACTTCGTCCAGAAATACCACCTGCAGCCGCTGAATTACAAGTGAACATAAATCCCCCAACGAAAATGGAAGTCCTGAACGCCATAAAGCTACTGAAATGCGGGAAAGCAGCAGGACCAGATGGAATACCGCCAGAAGCACTGAGAACAGATGCAGAGACAACAGCGGACATGCTCACACCACTATTGCAGAAGGTGTGGAGGGAAGAGAAGGTACCTGACGATTGGAAGAAGGGTTACCTTGTCAAACTGCCGAAGAAGGGAGACCTCAGTGCTTGCAAGAACTGGCGCGGAATCACTCTCCTATCCACCCCAAGTAAAATATTAAGCCGCATCATCCTGGAGAGGCTTAAAGACGCACTGGATTCAAAACTGCGACCGGAACAGGCAGGCTTCAGGAAGTACAAATCATGTGCTGACCAAATTGCAACGCTTCGTATCATCATAGAACAGAGCGTAGAATGGCAATCAGCTCTATACCTCAACTTCATCGACTTTGAGAAGGCCTTTGACAGCGTCGACCGAGAAGTAATTTGGAAACTGCTTCAATACTACGGAGTACCGCAAACCTTTATCCGCCTCATTCAACAACTATATGAAGATGCCACATGCCAAGTAATCCACAATGGGAAGCTCAGTGATGCCTTTGAAGTGAAGACAGGAGTGAAACAAGGTTGCCTACTATCCCCCATGATATTCCTAATTGTGGTGGACTGGATCATGCAGCAAACAGTAGGCAGCGAGAAGAGGGGGATACACTGGACGACGGAAAAGAACCTAGAAGACTTGGATTTCGCCGATGACTTATGCCTAATGTCACATAAACTTGAAGATCTGCAGGCAAAAACTAACAAGTTGACAGAGGAGGCAGCTAAGACGGGACTTCAGGTGAATATAGAGAAGACAGAAGTGATGAAGATACCGCACCACCACCATCAACAACAACAACAAACTCCAATCACCGTCAACGGTAGAAACTTGAAGGAAGTAACCTCCTTCACTTATCTAGGAAGCACTGTTTCAACTACAGGCGGGACGGACGAGGACGTCAAAGTCAGAATCGGAAAAGCAAGACAGGCATTCATTAGCCTGAAACCAGTGTGGAGATCTTCTGCACTCAGCATGCGGAACAAGATACGGATTTTCAACACCAACGTCAAGTCAGTGCTCTTGTATGGCTCAGAGACTTGGCGCGTCACGAAAGGCATTTCCAATAAACTACAGACATTCATCAACAACTGCTTACGCTCGCTGCTGAAGATCAGATGGCCAGAAAAAATAAGCAACAAGGAACTCTGGGAACGAACCAACCAAGAACCTATCACGCAACAAATATGCAGGAAGAAGTGGAGATGGATTGGGCATACACTGAGAAGGCCGACTGAGGACATCACGCGTCAGGCCCTCGAGTGGAATCCCCATGGGAAGCGACGAGTTGGACGTCCGAGGGTGACATGGAGGAGGTCGTGCGAGGAGGAAATGAGAGCTTCTGGGCTGTCGTGGAACCAGGTTCAAAAGATCTCAGAGAACAGAGGTCACTGGAGGCGTGCTACTGAAGCCCTATGTTCCACTAGGAACCCAAGGGACTAATAATAATAATAATAATACAGAGAGAAGTGCTGTCCAGCTGCGTAACGTAGTTTAGTCTGTATAGAATGTTTTTGTGCCAACTAACTAACCCTTAAGCTGGCTGAACACTGTATCTTTATAATTCCAGAAATTACTTTGTTGAATACATCTTCTTGGATGCAGGTCTGTAGTTGGCAAAGACGCTGAGATATTCTGCATGAGATTGTCAGTTTGATTCTCACTCAGTCACACATAAATATAAATTCTGTACATGATAATAATTTCTTTTATTTTCTGTGTTTGTAATACTGACCAGAATTTTTCAGTGTAAGTTACTAGAGAACTGAATTGAATGAATCGTCAGAAGAATAAATGTATTTTATCGTGTTTCAGCTACTTGAAAATATTTGATAAAAAACTACTTTATCATTGAATAATAATGCATAAAAAATGAGTTATATTTGTTTAGTTCATAAAATGAATTCGGTTTCAAGCAAGCAAACCAATGTTTGTGGGTCATATCTTCTTTATCTTTATGCGCAAAAATAAAAATCTAGTAGTGATGATCACATGTTAGATGAGATTTTCTAGTGCTCCACAAATACCACTGTTGACATGTTATAACGTAAATCAAGTGTACATGAATATATAATAGCATGCAAATTCGCATAATCGACCACATTTATTAAATGTTAAGGACAGTTACTTTAAGTTAATTTTCTCTGCTAAATTTAATTTGTAATATTTGAAATAGAGAAAACTTTTCAACTACAAGTTTATGATGTTAAAATAAGTGGAGATTAAATAATGTTTTTTCAAGGTGATCATCACCTGGTAGTTAAATGCTTAAATAACGTGGGCTTTTTCACTAGCCTACTAAGTTATGACACCCACCTATTTTGGCAATGGTTAATAATTCAAAACTCGTAATTTTAAATATCTTAGGTCGAATCTTACTTATACATTATGTTGTTCAACTATTATATGTGTACAGTTTCTATATACCACTTAGTAAAACATGCACCCCTAGACATGCCTACTGTTTTGGCTTAAAACTTCGTCCTAAAAGTAAGAAGCTTCGTCATATGCAATCTGCGTATTTCAGAATTATCAAATGTCATTTCAACAATCTGGACCTACCTTCTTTTCTTTCTTGCACTGAAAAAGTGAAGAGGAAACAAAATTATAAATTACTTTGTAGCATATTGTACATATATATCATTCACAGTATCAAGGGTTTCGTAGCTAAAATAATAACAGAGACACAATATTCCTGTATCTCACCTATGGTCCACATAATTTTATTGAATACAAAGCCAGGGTAACAGTACCATCGCCTTAATTACTCCATGCATCCTACTATTTGGTGTTCAACTGATTTGTCAAAGGGCACAGTATACACTAGATCATGCTACTGTTTTTTTACTGACATACAACCGAACAGCATATTGGGGTGAAACTATTGCTTTCGATGCTGTTTCACTCAAGAGTTATATGACAAATGTGTAGTGTAGCTTTCACAAATTGGTAATTAGACTTATGCAGAGATGCAATGGCAGCTAAGAATATTAGAAATGTAAATACGCTATCTGATTAGTTCAATTTCCATATGAAGCTAATAAGCAGACCCTTGTTTGTCATGAAAATGCAATTTTGGCGCGAAAATTGATGCTTATCGTTGTTGAAGTACATGGTTTTTTAAGCAGTATTCATCAAAGACTGACATAAGTTGGGTAGCTATTGAAAACCCCGGAGAACCGGACGTCTGTTTCATCCTAGTACGGGACACCTCAGCAGTACGTTCCCACCATCTTGCTATAGATTAAACTCAGGGCTTACAGGTTTCCCAGGAGACGCGATACCCATTCAACTACTAGGTCCAGTTCTCTGGGTTACCAAAGGTTCCACAACTGATTTCAGTTTGTAATGAACACAACCTCAAAAATAAAATCTCCATAAACATCAAAATACAACATATATTGATCGTGGTGACTAGCTTAGGAATCCAAGATGCACGTTTCGTCCTAATTGGGATTCGTCAGCTGGACTTGCCTGCACCCCAGTGAGTGGTATTGTCCCCGCCGAGGCTCGAACCCACTACCCTTCGCTTTAACACTAGAGCGTCGTCCACTAAGCCAGTGGGGTACGATAGCCACCTCTTGTGCAAATGATGTCAGTTGTTGTAATGATAAAAGTAAATCCCCTTTGCTATACAGGGCCGAATTGCTCGACCTCTGTTTGCAGATTGCCTCCTATGCGGAGGCCTTGATGATACCGGGTATTCATGATGTCATATTGATCTTGGTGACTAGCAGGTACATCCAGTTGACGAGTCTCAAACAGGAAGAAGCACGCATCTTGGATCCCTCAGCTAGTCATCAAGATCAATATGACATCATGAATATCCAGAAGTATCGAGGCCACCGCATAAGATCTCATCTGTCAATAGGGGTCAAGCAGTTCGGCCCTGTATAGTGACGGGAAATTTCAAGTATAATTGCAACTACATCATATATAATTGTAAACAAACAGATTATATCCTGTTGCGTTATGCGAAAAGATAACTGAATAAACTTAAATATTCTATGATCCCGTTTACGCTAAATACCGCTGGATTCTAAACTTCCTTCCTAATAGTTAGATAATTTGGATTGTAGCTGGATTTATATTGGAGAAAAATCTGTACTGCAAAAATACTGCAACCATCAATTTAATTTGTTTTACGGCTTCATATATCATTCTTGAGCTCTTTCTTAACTGCCGCATCTGTAAGGTGCCTTCTCAGTGTTTTTGAATTTGCGAAATTTAAACTGTTGATTTCTTAGTGTTCACCCTATTCTTATGTTTATTCTTAAATAACGAACCTATCCCTACCCGTACATACCTATCTCTACTCCAAAAATTATTCTAATAGCGTGAAAATACGCTGATTCATCCTGCTTACTTACTGATGATTAGATAAAAAATAAACAGTTCAATTACAGAGTGAAAACAACAAACATATACTTTGGATTCATGGTGTAAACAGTAATCAGTATCTACACTGTAATTCAACTATTGAAACCACATAGAATTGCAATCTGTAAATGAATCATTTAAATATTTGTTTTTTTAGTGATTAAAAAAAACTTGCATGACTCATTGTCTTGATCAAAACAAATCCGTTTAAGTTAACAAAATGAATTACAGATTATACACTAAAAATTCAAGTGTTCTGGAACTTAATTCCATCCGAAGAAAAGAAAAAAGAATTCATAATTTGATTCCAAAAAGAAACGTTTTCAACCACGATCTGTTTACATATATATATAAACAGATTCATTTACATATTGATTCATGAGCGAATTTTGGTGCATAATTCCGCCGAATCAAAAGTTGATTTACTTTATGCAGTACACTTCTGCTAATTACGAGAAATTTCGTTTGAAATTTAAGTAATTTTTGTCCACTCAAACCGTGGTTTCAGTTAGGTATTTATAGACGCTTACCAAGAAGCTGTGTTTAAGCCTTATGTTTGTTTTTGAGCAGCAAAAGACTTTAGAAAAGTCATACTTTCAAGGAATCATGTGTATAGGCAATTCGAAGTGTTTTTTCTTCAACATATAGTTTTAATTGAAGTGTTACAATATGATAGCAAATAACTCATATACTTGATTATAGTTCTTCTATTTGTTTATTGTCTTTCTATTTACTGTAGAGATTTACTTAAATCGGTAAACCTATCTGTTACTGGCCTGGTAAATTTAGAAAGTTAGATGTTGCTTATCAACTTTTTCTTCTGCCAGTGTATGAACTTAAATCATTTACTGTCTGTGAATTAAGTTATGTATCTGTATAGTCATGAATTTAAACCTTGAAATAAACAGGCAAAGCTTCAGCCGGCATCAGAAACTGGCGAAAAAACTTTCGTCAGTATTTACTCTAGAAGCTACAACACCTTAGAATCAGAAGTAATGCAAATTAGGACACAATTTTGCTAGTTAGTTGCATCGCAGTTAAGTAGGAAAGATGCAAACTTCAAATAGTTTGTGACAAGACGGATAACTTCATCGTGAAATGTCAGCAGAAGGAGCAGTGAAACCTAGCTAGCAATGGGAAACATTTTTAATTCAATATTTTTCATTGACTACTACTACTGTAATGTGCTCGTTATAGTCGGGTACCATTTTAAATGAATTGCTGAAGAGTTAATTGTTATGAACATGATGATAAGCATCTTCACATAGCATGGTCATCAATCATAATTATTGTTAAACATTCCTTTTCATTTTCATAGGTCATTGATTGTTGGGAACCAGCTCTCCAAAAATAGCATGATCAATCCCCCAGCTTACTGACTTATGTTTGCTCATATTATTAGGAAAGTCGTGACTAGAAGGTATTTTTCTAAAGTTTTATTTACAGTACATTTCAGTTTTAGTTTACCATAGAGTATATTTCAGTGTGATTTGACAAGGAAACCGTAATGATTTTTTGCCTCAAGTGCATTTATTGCTTAACTATCTAGAAGACATTCAGAAAGTCCGACTTGAATGACTTCCGTGCTTTATCTACAACTACTCGTTTTTATATTTCAGGATCAATTATGATTTAAAATAAAGATATGTATTGTGGCGAATCTTTATAACTCAGGGTGTGAATGTAAAGTGTAAGTGCTTCTCAGAGCTTTGACTTCATTTGGCAAAGGTTTTAATGTCAGGCTAGATGTCATCATCAGTGCATCATAGTTTCATAAGGAAGTGAAGCCCTAGTGCAGTGATGACAGTGTCTAGCACGGCATTGAAACCTATGCCAAATAAAGCCAAAGCTCAGGGGAAAACGTGCTTTCAACAAAGATGTGTATATTGTATTTTTCAGAGTGAACAAATCACGTGAAAGGTAACAGAGTGGTATAAATAAACAAGTATGCTATCAAGAAACAAGTTACTCTTCAGTCTTTTGAAACCAGAAGCTGTGCATAACTAAATGAGTTTTCACTTTGATTGATTTGTAGTAATCTTATGTTTTTTACTTGTAACCTAAAAATGTAGAGTTATTCGTTTTTTTGTCTTATAGGCGCAATACCAAATATGTTGTCGGTTGTCTAAGCGTGCTTAAGTGGTTTACAGCACTCAACTCTTTTAAGGAAATTGACGGATACTCTACTCGGAAGTGAGATAAGACCGGACTACTGATAATCAAGCCTTTTTTTTAATATGTTACACTAAATTTATTATTTGTTGATTTATACAGTAGAAGACCAAGATCTTCACAGTGCTGTTTACTCTGTATGCATGCAAAAGCAACGGATATCAATAGTTATGCCCATTTTTCCAATATAATGCTTTCTCTTGAAACGAATTTATGACGTAAAACAACAATGTCACAAATAGCCTTTCGACACCACTTTGATCATATGATGACTGAAACTTATTTTCATAATTATCTCCATTTAACCCAGTTATGAATATACTTGATCAAAAGTAGTACATTGTACAATCAGATACTTTCACATAAGTGTATTCAATGAATTACTGATCTGTAACGAAACGAAAAGGATTTATGATATGATATTTTGATATACTAATAATGCATGATGTAACTTCCATAAGCCTTGTCAAAGCTCACTGGAGTCTTATAAGTCTCATCAAACTTTCTATTTAGGCTTTTTTAAGTTGTCGAGCTTTATGGCCATGGAATGTTAGGCGACAAAAATTACAAACGCTTATTACTAGATACTTTAATGCATGGCTCACTTTTATGATTACCACTGCGGCTGAATATGTGATAAGGAGAGTAATGGAGACCGTAAATTGTAAAAGGTTTTATGGCAGCTTTACTAAGCTTGAAATGTCTTACTTTGGATGAAGTGCTTCAAAAACGTTTGGACAGTCTATGTATCTGTATGCCCACGTGCTAATAAAAGTCAGGTAACCTACAAATAAGTGTGTTATCGGAGCTCAATACTCAAGTTTGTTAATGTACTGTATTTTTAGTATTATTGCTTGTGCGAAATAAGCATCCTGGAACCCACTGCTAGCTACTATCCGTCATTACTACACTTTATTTTTGTTGTTGAATGTTCACTTATTTGTCTGCACAGAGCAATCGGCCAAAGTTGGAGTATGCAGTACTAAAGCTGATAACTTAACTGTGAAAATAGCGTTGACTGATAGCTA